ACCCCCTACCCCCCCCCCCCCCCCCCAAACGGAGATGGGGTGGGTATGGAGATAGTTCTAGAGGGTGGGGATAGGGATGGTAAATCATTTTCCATCCCCGCCTCGCCCATTGCCATCCTTAGATTTGACATTACCTCCTATATTTCAAAATTGAATAATTAGCGTGGTTAGTCCTTAAACTTTTTAGTAAACAACAATTTAGTCTCTATTCTTTTAATTTTGACAAAATTAATGGTCTAATCCTAAATTCTTAAAATATCGGTAATTAATATATTTTTATTTATTTACATTTGAGCCTTATCCTTAAGATGTTTTAGAGATGTCAATTGGGTCGGGCTGTCCACCGAGCAAAATAGCACGACTCAAAAAATTTTAGGCCAAGCATGGCACAACATGAGATTATAATGAACCAAACTAAGCACAAGTACGTGAGTTTGACACGACATGATATGACAACAAGCACGAACACATGCTTGATGGGCCTGCACGGTGAATATAATTTTTTCACATAATTTACGTTGTTGTTACATATTTAAGAAATTATATATCTACATAAATAAAATTAATTCATGTAACATAAACAACTTTAAATGATTTGCATTAATTTTCTTTATTTTAACCATGGCAACAATCAACCAAAAAAAATTACTGTATAAAAAATATTATATATCATATAAAAATTGATTTTAAACGACTCAATAGTTCAATAGCCGGTTCAAAGACTATTGTGTCTAGCATGAGTACAACATGAGCACGAATATATTTGGGCGCATAGGCCGAGCCAGTCCTAGTATTTTAAATCTTGGGCTAGTACAAGCACGATAGGAAATTTCGGTGAAGAAGCGGCGGCGGCGGTGGAGAAGGAGAGGGAAAGGGGCGGCGGCGGCGGCGACAGCGGCGGTGGACGTGGTGGAGGATGAGAGGAGAGAGAATAATTTGTTGGTGGCGCCGCCCATTTTCAGATAGCTGTAAACCCTATCGCCGGCTTTTACTGGCTGTGGTCCAGAATCGGTGCCTTGTGTGGGTGTTTAGGCTTCTAGTTCATTTTACAATCTACTCTATATAAATATCTGCCATTGCGTTGCAAGAGCTTATCATTTCTGATAACTTTTTACAGACTTTTCCTTTAAAAAAATAAAAAATAAAAAATAAAAAAGATTTTAACCAGATTTAACAGTTAAAATATTGATCTTATAGATTGGACGATCTACCGAAGAGATTATTGCTCAGTTGTATTTTTGAGTTATGATGACTTGAGTGTAGATTTTGAGTTGAATTTGAGTTATAACTTGAGTTTGTGTTTGGTTGTCTACATTTAAGTTATGGTTTAAGATGAGAATCGTTTTAAGTTTGTGTTTGGTTGTCTATATTTGAGTTATTATTTGAGATGAGAATCTTTTTGAGTTTATGTTTTGAGTGTGTCAAAACTTGAGTTTGTATTTAAATAATAAGAAGCTCCACATTAACAAATAATGAAAAAAAAAAAAAAACAGTTGTTGAAGTTTAATAGAGGTAATCAGGTAATAAAGGTAATCATCCCTCAATCACGTATAGTTAACCCAAATTTTACAGAATCTTTTTTTAATAATAGATGGGGGTTTAACTAGGGATGGCAATATTATTTTTAGGCACAAGGAAGATTTGTACTAAATAAAGCAAAAATTGATGATAATAATCGAATATAAGGATGAAAAAAGGGACAAAATTTTATTCTCTAATCTTAGCAGGTCGGGGACGGAAAAAGTACTCCTAAACTCACCTCGTCTCCATATACATATGTTATATATAATATAATATATTATATAAAAATATACATAATATACTTTTTGCATATCTATTAATTATTATTTTTAATAACTTTTATTGGCTCTATATATATATATATATTTTTTTTGCATATGTTTTGAATTTAGTTTGTATTGAAAAACCTTTAATTTCAATCAAACTTATATTAACTTTCTACTCTATTTTTGCTTTAAGTTACAGTACTTTTAAATACTTAATTACATTTGATGGAGAATAAAATGGGTATGAGGAACGCCCCTAACCCCTAACCACCACCCAAACGGAGATGGGGTGGGTATGGAGATAGTTCTAGAGGGTGGGGATAGGGATGGTAAATCATTTTCCATCCCCGCCTCGCCCATTGCCATCCTTAGATTTGACATTACCTCCTATATTTCAAAATTGAATAATTAGCGTGGTTAGTCCTTAAACTTTTTAGTAAACAACAATTTAGTCTCTATTCTTTTAATTTTGACAAAATTAATGGTCTAATCCTAAATTCTTAAAATATCGGTAATTAATATATTTTTATTTATTGACATGTGAGCCTTATCCTTAAGATGTTTTAGAGATGTCAATTGGGTCGGGCTGTCCACCGAGCAAAATAGCACGACTCAAAAAATTTTAGGCCAAGCATGGCACAACATGAGATTATAATGAACCAAACTAAGCACAAGTACGTGAGTTTGACACGACATGATATGACAACAAGCACGAACACATGCTTGATGGGCCTGCACGGTGAATATAATTTTTTCACATAATTTACGTTGTTGTTACATATTTAAGAAATTATATATCTACATAAATAAAATTAATTCATGTAACATAAACAACTTTAAATGATTTGCATTAATTTTCTTTATTTTAACCATGGCAACAATCAACCAAAAAAAATTACTGTATAAAAAATATTATATATCATATAAAAATTGATTTTAAACGACTCAATAGTTCAATAGCCGGTTCAAAGACTATTGTGTCTAGCATGAGTACAACATGAGCACGAATATATTTGGGCGCATAGGCCGAGCCAGTCCTAGTATTTTAAATCTTGGGCTAGTACAAGCACGATAGGAAATTTCTTTGAACCAAACCAAACACGTAACAAAATATGTATGGCTCTAGCCGAATATGGTCCAGGCTGACACGACACAACATAATTCAAAATTTATAATGTTTTACTTATTTTAGCATAATTATTGTATGTTTATTTTCTTATATGATAGAGTTTTCCCATTGAAATAAGAGTGAGATTAAATTTTCCTATTTAAGACTTTTTTTTTTCTTTGATTGCTATTTTAAGACTCGGGAGAGAGCGTTTATTTATCATTCAATTTTGATTATTTAAGGGGAGTTTTTTTTCGTGTGATCATAAACTGTCTATTATGCATATTTTTTAATTTAATTTTAACCAGATTTAACAGTTAAAATATTGATCTTATAGATTGGACGATCTACCGAAGAGATTATTGCTCAGTTGTATTTTTGAGTTATGATGACTTGAGTGTAGATTTTGAGTTGAATTTGAGTTATAACTTGAGTTTGTGTTTGGTTGTCTACATTTAAGTTATGGTTTAAGATGAGAATCGTTTTAAGTTTGTGTTTGGTTGTCTATATTTGAGTTATTATTTGAGATGAGAATCTTTTTGAGTTTATGTTTTGAGTGTGTCAAAACTTGAGTTTGTATTTAAATAATATTTTAATAAAAACTTAGGCTCCGTTCATTTCACCGATTCGAGTTTAAAATTTGAGTTTTGTTATAGCAGTCACATCTAACTTTTTTGTTACAGTAAAAAGCTCTCACATAAAGTCATATATCAACTCAAATTAAAAACTCGAATTAGCAAACTAAACATGCCCTCAATAATGATGAAAAATTTTAATAGGGTATATGGGCATGGTTTTATTCATCTTTTCATTGTGAACGCATAAAAAAAATTTCAATCAGAATTAAAACGAAAAAGTTATAATATTTTTAAAAATAGAAAAAATATTGTTTATTAACTTGGATTTGAATTTAAGAACAGAAAACAATTTCAAACTCAAGTTAAAATTTAAATTTAAACTCTAATTTAAACTCAAATTTAAACTCAAATTTTAATTTTAATTTAAGTTCAATTTTTTTTTGAATTTGAATGCAATCGGAGTCCTACGTTATTTAAGAACATTAGGGCTTATTCTTTTCGCTGATTCGAGTTTTGTTACAGTAAAAAACTCTCAAAAATAGTCACATATAACTTTTTTATCACAATAAAAAATTATCACACAACATCATATCCCAACTCGGTATTTTAATAAAAACTTAGGCTCCGTTCATTTCACCGATTCGAGTTTAAAATTTGAGTTTTGTTATAGCAGTCACATCTAACTTTTTTGTTACAGTAAAAAGCTCTCACATAAAGTCATATATCAACTCAAATTAAAAACTCGAATTAGCAAACTAAACATGCCCTCAATAATGATGAAAAATTTTAATAGGGTATATGGGCATGGTTTTATTCATCTTTTCATTGTGAACGCATAAAAAAAATTTCAATCAGAATTAAAACGAAAAAGTTATAATATTTTTAAAAATAGAAAAAATATTGTTTATTAACTTGGATTTGAATTTAAGAACAGAAAACAATTTCAAACTCAAGTTAAAATTTAAATTTAAACTCTAATTTAAACTCAAATTTAAACTCAAATTTTAATTTTAATTTAAGTTCAATTTTTTTTTGAATTTGAATGCAATCGGAGTCCTACGTTATTTAAGAACATTAAGGCTTATTCTTTTCGCTGATTCGAGTTTTGTTACAGTAAAAAACTCTTAAAAATAGTCACATATAACTTTTTTATCACAATAAAAAATTATCACACAACATCATATCCCAACTCAAAATAAAAAAACCTCGTACATTCATTTTTCTGCTTAATAAATTTGGGTCATCATTCTAGAATTCATTATAGAAGTAGAACCAAAAGTTTTCGCCACAACAGCCATGGACGAAGCACAAGAACACAACAACAACAACAATAATTGGAGCGAATCGGTGGAGGATCTGGCGGCGGCCGGAGACGCAGACGCCGCAATCTCTCTCTTGGAATCCGTGATTTCCGACCTCAATCCATCGGATTCTCAACTGCCTTCTGCTCTGACCGACTTGGCCAATCTCTACTCCTCCAAAGGCTTCTCTCTCAAAGCCGATCAACTTCACTCTCGCGCTTTCCTCCTCCAGCAACGCCGTTCCTCTTCTGGGTAAAGCCTTTTCCTTTTCTCGCTGCGTTTTGGTTTGTTTGGTTGGTAAGAGAATTTTATTTGATCGTTGTCTTGGATTTTTCTTTACAGTGTTCTGGACGAGGATTTGAAGGAGGAGAAGAAGAAGCAGGGCTTGTCTCCCAACAATTCTCTGCCTTGCGATGAATCTTCAAAGGATGGTAAGGGATTTTCACTAAATTTTACTAGTTTGTATTGGGTAAATAAAATAGTTTTCTTGCGCGGAGTTTGAATTTGGGTATTTGCTTATTTGTGAAGGGAATGTTGAAAAATCGACGAAATTACAGAATGATGCTTCGCCTCAGAATGAGACTTTAGATGATGGTAGGTAGTACTGCTTCTTGATATCTCTCTCTCTAGAGTTTATCTCTAAACAGAATGAACTTTTTTTTTTTTCCCCCCCAATATGAGAGGACTTATCTTATTATAGAACATCAAAAAGCATAAGATTAAGGCCCAGTTAGAGAGCAGGGAACACTCCATTTAGTGAGCTTTCTACAAAAGCTATAGTTGAACTTTCTTATCAACAGGAATTATTAATGGAGGCCTTAACTATTACACACACAAAAAAAAAGGAAGGCCACTTTGTGACTTGAATTTCTATTTTGTTTCGTTTTGTTTTTGTTTTTGTTTTTGTTTTGTTTTTTTTTTTGTTTTTGGTACGCAAACTGCTTTAAAGACCAATGAGCCGAGAGATGTTTGGTCTGTTGTTGGACATTTTAAATGATTTTAGGTGTAAGATTAGTACAGATGTTATTTGAAAGTGACGGAATTTGTGATACCCAAATGCAAACCATGTGATACTCTTATAGATGCTCTAGGTTTCATCTAATTCTTATTTGCAATATATTTTTAGAATGCTTTTAACCATAAGCACCAAGATGGATCTATAGTTATATAACCTTAACGGGAGAGTTTGTGTCTGACTTTTGAAATGCATTCTCCATTATGTTTTATGGCATTCTTAGCTGTACTCCTGCTATTGTCAAGTTATTACAATGTGATTTTGATAAAGTATGATTCTGTGAAACTACAGATTGGGAAGCTATTGCAGATCGCACGCCTGATGAATTACTTTCCTCACAATGTTTGCCTGGAGTATCAGAACTTTCTTTGCAAGATTCCAAAACTAATGCCCCTAAGCAGCGTGGAAGGGGAACATTTTCATATAAAAAACATGAATTGTACAGTGACCATTTGTCTAAGAAGACAGTTAGTGATTATACCGAGGATGAAGATGTTGGTCATGATTTAGAGAGTAATACAGATGTAAGAAAATGTAAGTTCTAAGTCTCCAATAATTCATAGTTTTATAATAGGCGTGTCCATTTTACATGATCATATCACACCACCATTCTCTTCAACTCGAGCTTTAGAATTTTAATTCAGTACGAAGGTCTGCGGTTTGGTTGATTGGATAATATCTGTTATATTTAATTCCTTTCTTCTGATTGTTATTTCATGCAGAAAGATGCATCTTCTCCTCTCCTTACATTCCCATATTTTACCACCCCAAAATCCTTTCCATCTTTTGACATCAATTTGAATTCTGTTAATACAATCCTTAAAGGGTCTTTGATGTGTAATTGTGTATTATGTGGCATTTAGATCGTTCAATTCTTTCTAGTCTTTGTGTATGTTCTTTGTCATGGAATGTAAAATCTGATAATTTATTATTGAACTGTCTTCAGCAATATATGGTACACGTCATGTTCTTATTTTGGCTGATTTCCCCCCAAGCACAAGAACAATAGATCTGGAGAAGCTTTTTGACGATTTTAGAGATCGTGGAGTTGTTATTCGATGGATCAATGATACCACTGCACTCGCAGTATTCCGAACCCCGCCAATTGGTAATTCATATTGTACTTGTTTTTCTTCTTGAAAATATACTAGTGTCATACTGTCAAGTGTCATGAATTTGTTTAATCCTATTATAACTGTCAGTATTGAATTGATTGTGGATGATAAATGGTATTTCACCTAAATCAATCATAATTTGAAATTTCAAACCAAAAATTTGATTATTAATTGTATATCTGACTATCTTGCACTAGTAAGATTAATTAATTAATTAATTTTAATTTTAATTTTTATCTTTGTTTAATCACATTAGCTAGGATTGGTTGTGGTGTCACAACAACCTGCAATGAACACTGATTACATGGTTTGGCAGAAATTATAAAAACAATCTAGCAAATTATACCTCAATGCTGGGATACCTAGCTGTAAAGCTCTAAGCTTTCTAGTATGAAATACTGTACTAGGGGGCATTTGGTATGAGGTAATCTCAGGGATGGGAATGAGAGTCTTTCAGATTCTCATGTTTGGTACAATTATTAGATATTTTTAAAACCCAGGAAAGTGAATCCTATGGGTTTTACATTACCACATTTTGGGGTAATCATAAACCCACCCAATAGGGTATTATTTACTTTCCCAAGAAAGTAATATTACAGGAAAAAATCTGCCCTAACCTTTCTCTCACCCATCTCTTACCACCCATCTCGCCCATCTCTCTCTCTCCCCGTCCAGACCCAGCTTTCTCTCACCCATTTCTTACCAAACCCATCTCGCCCATCTCTCTCTCTCTCTCATCCAGACCCAGACCCAGCACTGCTCTTCCGTCGACCACACCGCCGCCGCCTTCCGATCCACCACACCGTTGCCGGACTATCCTCTGCCGCCACCACCAGAGTATGATTCCTTTTTTCTCTCACTAATGTATTGAGCCCATTAGCATCTGAGCTCTGATCATCGTGGTCAACAGCTTGTCGTAGTGGAGCTCCCGAACAAAGATGAGCGCCGCCAGCTCTTAGTTTGCTCTGGCACCGAATTAGCTCCAGACTTGGACGCCGACAGAAGTACTGCCAGACTTGGATGATTTCTTCCCGATTGCTGTCGATTTGGGCTCCGCCTCCGCGAGCGAGGCCGCTGCTGATTTTAACTGGGCTTGAGAATCCAGGATCCACCACTTCGTTTGAGGCGGCACCGGTAAAATGGAGTGGACAATCACCGCCGCAAACTTTTCCTTCATAGGCGCCACCGTGGCGGAAATAACCGCGAATCTCATTGAAATCATTTAAAATATTTTATACTTTTAAAAACATTACTGTTAATTGTAATTCATTTAAAAAATATATTTTTTTTTAATTCACAACATTCCCATGCACAACCAAACATGGTAATGTAATATTTTTGGGAATTTGAGAAAAATTTCTGTATGGAACCAAGCACAGTAATGTATTATTTATGAGAATCATATTACCCTCTCTCACTTTCTCCGGAATATGATTCCTACTGATTACTGCGTACCAAACGCCCTCCTAGTGTTCAGGGACGGGGTAAGTAGCAACCCGTCTGGAATGTGTTAATTTCGGTGAAGGGTATACTGTACTAGCGTTATCTTTTTATTGTGTTTGGGGTATTGTTAACTGGTGAAAATAATGTTGGTTGCAAAGGAACTGCAGTTTATTCAAGCGCACGTTTTATTCCAAAATGAGGTTTTTAAGCTTCTTAAAATTTACTTAGTTAAACTGACAGTCTCAATACTTTAATGCAGCACTCGAGGCCAGCAACCGTGTCAGTTGTCCGTTCACAGTACGAATACTTGATGAGGCCGATGACCTTATAAGCTCAATCCAAGCAAAAGGTAAAACATGCATCTTTGTGAAATATATACCCCTAGTTTATGTGAAAGATAGGCATTTTCTTTCCTCCAGAACTGAATTTCAGGATTCCAACTAGAAAAAAGGGAAAAAAAAGAAAAAGAGAAAAAAAAGAACTTTTTATTAGAGGCAAGCAAAGATAAAAGGGGGAAAAGAAGAAAAAAAGGTAAAAACAACTTTTGATCAAGTTTCGTTTAATGTCATATATATATATATATATATATATATATGTGAGATATATATATATATATGTATATATGTTAACCTGATAGGATGCTGATATAATCTGATGGTTAAGAACTATAGCTTACTAGAGAGTTCTTTCTTTTTTTTTTTTTTTTTTTTATAATACCCCGCCAAAAAATTAGAATTTTTCTATAAAAAATTTAGAAAGGAAGAAAGTTTGGATTTTGTCCAATAAGACGCGACTTTTTTTCCCTGGAAACTTATCTTTTTTAAAAAGAAAAAAAGAAAAAAAAAGAAGAAAAACTGGTTGAGTAACTTTCCACTTGAGTAGGCGCCTGTGTTACTTTTTTTTATCTCATTGAGAGTTTGCCAGTCTTGAAACCCACCAACTGGAGGATTGTTACCCGCCAGGGTACTAACCAAACTCAGGTGTCACTTCATATTTGCACAACTTTAAAGTTTAATATTGAGCCAAAAAAAAAAAGTAAACATAAAGTCTGATATATTTATCATGCGGAACAATTATTGTTAATTTGTGGGAGATTCTAAGCTCATAGAAGCAATTGTTTATTTGTTGGAGATTCTAAGCTCATGGAAGCCGCTTGTTAATTTGTGGGAGATTCTAAGCTCATAGAAGCAATTGTTTATTTGTCGGAGATTCTAAGCTCATGGAAGCCGTATATCGTAGGGCGCATTTGGAAATCGTTTCAAAATAATTTTGTTTTTTGAATGAAAATGAAAATGAAAACGTTTTCAATTTAAACAAAAATTATTTTTAAAAATGCGTTTGGTAATTTTATCAAGAGATTGTTTATAGTATAGAAAAATTCATTAATGTCTATGTCTCTTTCTCTCTGTTCGAGAGATGAGAAAACGAAAATAAAAAATAAAAAACGATTAAAAGTCGTTTTTCATTTCTCTTTCACTTTATACTAAACTAAAAAATCGTTTTTATTTTATTTTTTTGTCTTTATTGCGCCAAACGTCGTTTTAGAAACGTTTTCATTTTTTTTTCCTTAAAAAACGTGAAAACTAAAAACGGGATCAATTCTAAATACGACCGTAATGATTGTATTTATTGGTTTTTTCAGATCTCGAACCTCCTCGACAGAGGCCAAAGACATCAGCAACAACTGCCCAGAGGCTGATTGCACAGGGAATGGGTTTGAAATTAACTTCGGCATCGTTTGGCTCGAGAGAATTGAGAAAACAGGAAGGTGATAGAAGGAACCGCATTGTCACGAGGCAAAAACTAAAAGAGGATGCTTGGGGTGGCGATGATTAAGCTTTCAAACTGACAGTTTATTAATCTTGTATACTAGGGCTTATTTATGTTGAAACTTTCCCTCACAACATGTGCAATTTTGGAGTGTGAAATATTTTTCGTACGGTGGATCTTTTAATCTAATTTTAACGCTTATGCAGCCAGGAAAGTGTGCCAAAAAGACGCCACATGAAAAGCATACAACATTTTTCAAAATTCGTTGATTCACTCATATCGGATAATAGAGCATTCACTAAAACGTTAATTCCCTCACGAATGCTTAAAAAACAAAAAAGAAAAGATGAGTGATAAGAAAATAGAGATGGAAACACAACTGGTCCTATTTATAAGAACTGGAACATACAACAAATTTGATTCAGAAGCAAAGAAACCAATCTAAACACCAATTGACCTTGATTTCTTTCCCATGTGGACAATCAATTTTACCTTTGGTTTTTCCAAGTCTGCATGTGCAATTCAAGTGTCAATTTCTCATTCATTCATGCATCATTTTAAGTATAAGACTTAAAACACTAATTTGAACTTCTTATTTCTAAACCAAACACTAATTTGAACCTTTAGAGTTAATTCAAACTAAATTGTTTGGTTCAAATAGCTAAACCAGCACATAATTTTAGTTTGGCATTTCAAAAATCCCTTCAAAGTTCAAACCCTCATTTTAAGTAGCCCTATTCAAGAATTTTCTATGTTAACTTGGGTTGCAATATAATAGATAATCCTAAATGAGAACATAATTTTAGTGCAAAATTGCAAAATCAGTTGAAGGACTAGCAGCGTTTTGGTAATTCGAATTCGTGAACTAAACGAGGCCATAATCTAATGAGGACGCTGACAAATTCCAAAGAGCATTACTAGCCAGATTCATTCATTCCCTGTTTGAGACAGCAAAATTGAAGAAATATGATGTTTTACAATGTTCTGCACAAAAACACAACTAGGACATTTCTATAACCTTTCCCAGACACATATATTTGAAACAGGGAGCGGGACATAGTTTGACATGGTTAATAGTGCAACAAATTTACTCATGACATGTGTCTAAGGTTCAATTGCTCGACTACAATGCGACAGAAAGCATAACATATAAACTGGATCAAGAAAAAGTGACAGCAGATTATCTACTTGGAGGAAATTGAGTTATCCTACATGCCATCCAAAATGTACTTAAACTAAGCAGCGCACAGCAATTCTAAAAGCCCAACATACATGTGACTGGAACAATGCGACCCGCTAGTCCAATTGCCAGAAATTGATCATCACTTGCCCCTGCAAATTTATCAAAACTCGTTTAGAGAGAGAGAGAGAGAGAGATGTGAGTGTTTTCTTGTTACTTACGAATTCATCATCAAAGTTATGTTGTCTCCTTTAAGAAGAATCCTCCCTGAAGAAACAAGAGAAAAGAAAACTTATCAGAGATAAACATCAACAAGAACACAAGAGCAGAATGGAAAAGACACCTACCCAGTGATTTTCTGCTCTTTTTCTTGATGTTAACTTCTTCAGCATCATCCAGAACCAAATTCATGTATTCGTCAAAGCCCTGTAAAACCGAGAATAAGACTTAAAAAAAAAGGAAAACAAGAAAATTATTTAAATTCGTAGAGAAATGTATTATAAAGAGTAAATATGACAGAAGCGGGATAAAAACACTGACATAGACAGAAATTAGATGCGGGAGAGAAGTTCTATTTTTATTTTTTCTTTTTGCTATTTGATGAACAGAGGAGATAATTGACATTAAAGGAAACCAACAAATCCCAACCAGGTTCGTATCCACCAAAAAACCCTAATCCCACACCAAATCTCCCACTCTAAATTATTAAAGAAAACTTAAAAAAAAAAAGAGTAGACATTATTTGTTCAGGTCTAGCAGAAAAATTACACTGAGTAGACATTTACAGGTATAGATTGAGAGAGAAAATATTTAGCCTTTCTTCAGTTGAGGTGCAGCATTACAAGGCTTGATACTTTAAGAAGCCCTCGGTATTCACAGCAAATAAATGAAAAGACAGTATGCTAAATACACAGATGTGCAAACTACACTCTAGGAATAAAAAATGCCAAAAATATTAAGTTCAAGAACAACTCAACGTGAAGCAGAAAAAAAAAAAAACCACCACACACACACACTTTAAGGACCAAACTTAAAAAGGTTCAAGAACTAACCAACGACCCCAAGATGAACAGTGTTATGATGTTGCAAATCAGCAGCATATTTCATAGTTCCATTTGTCTGTTAAGTCTTTTGAGTAACAGATACACAACATAATTTATTAAATATTATTATTATTATTTCACACGTCTGTTGACTAGCTTAGTCCAACTAGCCCAGCTAGAATACCTTGAAAAATTATCTACTCTTTCTGAGCTTATTTTCTTTTTACCGGAAAACGGAAAAAGGTAAAGTTGTCCCCAATAATGAGATATAGAAATGTAGAGCTCTGGTTTTGATTATCCAACTATCTTAGGGTGTAAATGACAATTAAGGCATTGGCACCCTTTCAGAAGTTTGAGTGACTTTTCATATGACCTAAAACGGCCATAGCCATCTGTCTAAACAATAAAGAACCAAGAACAGGAATTCCATTTAAAATTCCGACCATAGGCTGCCAATGGCAGTAGAAATTCTGAATATTTTACTAAGCCTCTGCATTCCAAATTACCAATTAAGCATTTCTCTTTACTTATAACCGATTAGCATTCTCTTTACTTATACCTAACAACAAATGCAATTTACAAATTTTAGATGTTTACTACCACAAAGGGCAACCATACAAAATACAACAAAAACCTTCTAACTTCAACTAACTAAACAAACGTATAGCTGATAAGGTGTGAAAAACTTAAAATAAATTTGAAATGCTAAAGAATTTTTCAGTACTCACATCCACAAAACCTTTTATTGAAGAAAGAGCATACATAAAGCTAAATCCCCACTTCAATCACAATGTCTTTTAGAAAAAACATACCAAATCCAAACAATTAACAGAAAAATCATTGTAAAGAAGACTAATCTTGTTAAACTAGAAACCCAAAAGAAAAACTTACAATAATTCGGCCCTCAATCCTCATATCCTTCTGCTCGAAAAGCCAAATTTGAATGCGTGCTTTCTGAAACCAAATTTATCCAAAAAAAAAAAAAAAAATTTGAAATCACATCCATTAATCCAATTTTAAGAAAAAACCCAAAAGACAAAAGCAATTAATTGGAACGAAAAACTGGGAACAACTTACACTCTGAAGGAATCTGAAAATCAAGTTCTGCCACAGACAAGAAAACAAGAAAAAAAAAAAAGGGGGACATAAGTCGACGAAATCAGAAGTTAGAAAGTTAAAAGAGACGAAAGGGAAAGTAGAAAAAGAAACATACAATGGGTTGGGTCATAATCCTCTGGACTTTGGTGCTCGCCATGGCTGCTGATTCAGAAATGCAAAACCCTAAACCCAAAAGAGGAGAGAGAGAGAGAGAGAGAGAGAACTTGTGAGGCGGGTGGATGGGAGGGAATTTTCGGTGTGAGGAGAAAATATGAAACCCTAAAAAGAAATCCAAAAAGCACCCCTAAATTTTAGCTGATTCAGAAATGCACATGGACAATTACCAAAAAGTCCAAATTTCTCCTCTCCCACCGTCCATGGACATCCCCAATCAAACTCGAATATATTCGTTTACCATTTTAATTACTTAAAGGGGCTTGTGATTTTCGTCGCAATCAGTCGTTTACCATTTTAATTGCCTCTTTGACTGCCTCCAAAATGTTCCCTTTTTTTTTTATTTGTTTTACCTTAAAATTATTATTAGAAATCTAACAAGAAATGTAAGTCTCGGAGATTAATAGAAGGATCTAAAATTTCAGATAATACTATAATTTTGTTCATTTGATTGATTCAAATTTAGAATTTGAAATTTGTTACAATAAAAAACTCTCAGAAACAGTCACATCTAACTTTTTTACTACAGTAAAAAGTTTTCACATAAAATCACATCTCAACTCAAATTAAAAACTCGAATTAACGAACTAAACGGGCCTTACGTCTGATCCTCTAGACTTGATAAATGTCTTATCCCCAATACCTTTCAAGAACAATATATTGATCTTGAGATCCCAAAAGAACTTGTTACCTAATGGCTTGCTGAAGGCCATACTCGTCTTAATTTTGGAGCAATCAGACTTGTCTTAACTCTTCATAGTAGAAAAAGTTTACCTGTCACTGTTTGTCTAGTACTACTAGATACCAAATATACGAGATACGAACATATAGTAATAGGAACTACACTCTCCGCTGAAAAGAAAGGCACCGGCTGTCATCTTTTGCAAAAGTCACAAGATCTTATCCTGAGATCTTATCTTGTAAAAAGTTTATTTATTTTGTGTGCTTAGGTAAAAGTTTAATAGTATGTCTGCCACTTTGTCAAAAGTGGTTTTGTCCTCTGTTCAAATTAGTCAAAAGTAGAATAGTGTATGATCTACTTTGTCAAAAGTCACTTTGTCCTTTGTAAAATAAGTATAAAGTTAAACGGTGTAAATCTTATTCTGTCGGATAAGATCAGAGTCTTGTGAGTCCAGCTTCAACAATATAAGGCGAGGCATTTCTTTTGGTTTGGCAGAAGTCCACCAACCAAGAAAACTTTGTAAAGAGTTTGCTCAGTAATAAAAGTATGAGTTTCTAAATCCTCTTTTTTCCTCTCTGAAATTCTAAGTTCTCTTCCTTATACCATGGACACTCCTACCCTGGAAATGAATATATCATATATTAAAGAGGAAAGGAAATTTCAAATTTGTTTACCTATTCAGCAAAAAAAAAAAAAAAGGGAATTCATTCGGTTGAATTCGAATTGAAAGCATTTTTTTTTATTTTTTAAATGTATGTAGTGGGTCCTTTCAATAATTAAAAAGATCTCAATGTGGTGAGTTAAATAAGGCCCCGTTCATTTCACTAATTCGAATTTTGTTACAGTAAAATACTCTCAGAAATAGTTACATTTAACTTTTTTATTACAATAAAAAGCTCTTACATAAAGTCACATCTCAACTCGAATCAGCGAATTAAACATGCTCTAAGAAATACTAAAACTAACATTGTCTTTTAACGGTCCATTTTCAACCCCACAGTTCCTAAAACTTACTCTACCGGTGGAATAAATTTAGGGGTCTCACTATAAAAACTCCATTTTAATAATCTAAAAAATACTCTGTGTTTTTTAACTATCTCAAAATCACCCTTAATTGTATCAAAAGATTTTAAAAAATAACTCTTTAATTTGTCAAATTGTTAAAAATGGCATTAATTTCCTTAAATTTAGAGGAAAAAAACTAAAAATTTCATGAAAATAAATTCTAATCTTTTAAAATCCAAAACTCAATAGATTAAATTAGTCTAATCCTGAATCTCGCGCCCTCACCATTAACACGACATGCGAATTTGGACCTGCCATAATCGTCTCTTCTCACTAGATTATGCAACCATACATTTGATCGTTGTCAAAATGGTTTTTTTATTAGCATTTTGAGGTTAAAAAAAAATCATACTTTATGCTTTAGGTTGTATCAAATCTATACATTCACATTTCAAATCAATGCTGAATCCTTACCTTTTTTCGATCAAAGATTTATTTTATTACAGAATAGACCTAAATGTTCTTCACATTTTTTAATTTTAACTTTTAAAAAATTCTTAATTCTTATTTTCTTGAGGGCATTTAGGACTTTTCAATCATCACAATCAACTAATAATTGATAAAAGGTAAGAATTGAGCATAAAACCTAAGGCCTCGTTCACTTCCGCGGATTCGAGTTTTCAATTCGAGTTGAGATGTGACATTTTCTGAGAACTTTTTACTGTAATAGAAAAAGTTAGATGTGACATTTTCTGAGAGTTTTTTAATGTAGAAACCTAAAACTGAAAACTCGAATCGGTAAAATGAATGAGGCCTAAATATGATGGTATGACTTTAATACAATCGAAAATATAAAGTGTGATTGTTTGATAATCTTAAAATGCAAGGTATAAAAATGAAACAAAAAAAAATTACCAAAACCCACCCTTTTTGCTTTTATGATGGTGTTAAAGTTCTTTCACCAAAGAGTTCATATAGGTCATCAACGAGAGAGACTTTTTCTGCTTTATTTTATTTAGTTTGAAGGCTATATCTTTTTAAATTTTAAACTAATTAATGGCTAAATAGTAATTATAAAAGTTGAATAAATTTTTTTCCAAAATTTCATGCATATTTTGCAAAATTTTCATTAAAATAATTACCAAAATTTCATCGATATTTTATGTATATTTTGCAAAATTTTCGTGCACTTTTGTCATTTAACGCTATTTTTTTAACGGAAATGAAATATCTATATTTATGAAAATCTTCAAAGTATTTTTTAAAAATATATATTGCACCTCTCGTTAGTGTCAAAATATAAAAATTTTTGCAAAAATACGATTTTTCAAACCATGACGTCCATAACATTTCATCATCATCAAAGCACAAACCCGATACAATCGGGGTAGGACGTCCATAACATTTCATAAGATAAGAAATTAAAAATAACAAATAAGTTTTTATATTTAGGTACCTTCGTTTAGACTAGATTGGTACCATGACTTTTAGTTTGAGAAGTAAAATTCATCGAAAAATCATCATTGTCACTGAAATTCATCAAAATTTATGGATACTTTACTGGAATTTGTCATTTACCGCTACATTTTACAATTATCAATATTTTCGTGAAAAATCATCATATATATTGAAAAAAAAAATACTGCACTCTTTTAATGTTTATAGTGTTAAAACACAAAATTTTCCGCAGAAAACCTTGGCAACGTATCGATGAACAAATTGCCAATCTTTTGTCAACCATGTCCTCGTCTTATAAAGCAATTTCTTTTAGAAAAGCGTGATAAAACATAAACAAAATCTCTTGAAATCCAATCATTCAAACCTAGCAATAACATTCATCCTACAATCGACAAAAAGCTCAACTCTCAATAATATATGCTGCAAAATTGTGCCAAAAGCAACTTAATTGTCAACAAAAGCTTCAGTTAGGAAAATTGATGTCCGAATTGAGCAGTTCACTTTTCACAAATATAAAGCACGCCCATTTAAAAATGATGAAAACATGTCAAAACTTCTCTGCTAATGAAGGGTTGAAGCGATCGCACCGGAACACCAAATTAGCAAAACATTCAAAGCCAGAGTATCATATCCGCATCCAAGGACTCATCAGCCCATCTGACAATACGTCGGACCCGCATATACGTAGAGACCCAAGTATTGGATAATTTACCGGACACATTCGCAATGTCATTATGAGACCTTCCTAGATAGATTCCTCAACCCACAACCAAAACCTTTTAGTATAACTGTCCCTGTCGCAGGATCTGGCTTTATGACAAATTTTACTCCTAGGAAGTCTCTGATATTTCTGAGTGTTTCTATGCCGTATGGTGAGAGCTTTCCAACCCGAACCTTTGAAATATCTTGTGGGCATAGCGCACAAAGAAGAAATAAGAGACCCTGCAAAACCACACTCAACTTTATGTTTACTATACACCAGAAACATTCAAACCCGGAACAGCCACGTACTTTTACACATGTTTTTTACTTTTTTTATTACTATTTTTTTCCTTCTTTTTTTTTTTTTTTTTTTTTTCAATAGTAAGCTAGCAGATTGGCAGTTAGTAACGGAGAGCTAGACGTTTTCGCACATACCTTCAGCATAAATGATTCACAAAAGCATTTTACATAAAAATTCAGAAATCTATAACATGGTAGTTACAAAAGGGTAACTTTGACCTTCCGTGAAAGCTGTAATGACTTTTGAATAGGAACATATCTTTTGAATTTGTAAATTTGTTGCCAAAGAAAGGGGGCAGAGAAATTTTGACTGAATATGTGATTTAGGGATGGCATAGTGCTGTAGAAGAACATTCAGTGGTTGTAAGTATAGATCATTAAGAATAATCATCTATTGCCATAAATAAATAAACCAATGGAAAATATATTGCTGTCAGAAATACTGATTTTCTCTGGTGTACTCGCAATTCTGAAAATTCTAGGGACAGCTGATGTTTGCAAAAGAAAACCATAACCTGGTCTTATACAACAGAATTCCCGGCAAGGGAGGTGAATTGAAGTGAAATGGCAGACAAGTAGAAATGGAGAGAAGGATAGTGGAAGACAGAGAGAGTAGAGATAGAAAGGACAGTGGAAGAGGGGGAGAGAGAAAAGACAGGCATATAGAAGTCTATATGACATCAGCCTCCAATTTTCGGATAGTCACAGCAGTGGTCATAGCTGTGATGTGATACAAAAGGAAGTCCTCATAGCAATGTGTCTTTGCTGCAGTTTATTCTGGGGATACCGGTCGTTTTATTTGAGAAGGCCTATTTGGTTTCAGCCTAGTAAAGGAGCCGATCATTTATGTCAATGAATATTTTTGCCTTCTTTTGTGGGTTTTAGTACAAGTTGGAAAGGAACAACAGAATATTAAGAAGACAAGTCATCACTCACCAGGTAGAGTTTCCTTTTAGGAGGAAGTGAAATTTGCATAGAAGTGTAAATATACCCACTGCTTTAATTCTTGTAGAGATGAAGTTGTTCTCTAATTTGTGTCAGTTCTGTCCCTCGTTTAGTTTCCCAAGATATGATGGATATTTAGAACAGAAAAAAAAAATCCACTCTAGGACTTTTTTTCTTTTTTCTTCTGTTTGTTTTTTTTCCCCGTTTTATATGAACTACAGAAATTTTGACTTCCCAAAATCGTAATGGGTAAAACGAGAAAGTATGTGTTAGGATCCTGGTTGTGTCTCACATTGCTAAAGTATGGGCTTAGTATGTGGATTTATAACCACTTGAGCACCCTCTCCCTACAAGCTAGCTTTTAGGAATGAGTTCTACCCAATGGGTTATAAATATTGGTATCAAAGCATGCCCACCTCGGGCCCATGATGCGGGAAGGGGCGAACTGGGGAGAGGCGACCTAGAAAGACCAGAGTGGGCCATCCAGAGTGGGCCGCTGTGGACATCGGCGTCGGAAGCGTGGTGGTATGTAAGGATCCTAGTTGAGTCCCACATTGCTAAAGTACGGTTTATAACCACTTGGGCACCCTCTCCCTATAAGCTAGCTTTTCGAAATGAGTTCTACCCAAGGGTTGTAACAGTATGCATATTTGTAATTGATTACATAAACTGCATATAACATTTAACATAACAAAAACAGATATAGCAATTTAACAAGAAATAAAAAGTCATGAATAGCGTGTTTTTTCATTTAGTGCAAAGGCATTCGACGTATGGAAAGGAAAAATTGGAATGATAGGTCAGGCAAGCTTGAAAGCAGAGGTGAAAGGAAAGACAGACCTGATGTGTTGAATCTACTACTCCACCTTGCTCAATCTCCCCAAGCAGAACAGAAGCAATTCGCAAACCAACATCCTCTGCTGGTGTCAAATCTTTCTTCTCCATATCTTGAAGTTCATCCATCTCCTCTGGCCGTGCATAAGAAACAGTTGTATCAGCTGATATGTAGCAGCCAGATGTAGTTTCCGCAACCAGTGAAATTCCATAGCCTTGTGACCTGACATTAAATCATGTACCCATAAGCAAGGTGTCATACCAATATACCGTATATACAGATTCCTTTATCAAGAATGTCATTGTTACAAACACTTGGTACTATATAGTAACGCTTGCAAACATACTTTCCAGCTTGTAGACCAGCTTTATGATCAGTAGCTATATGAACATCGGGAAGCAATCGATTAAAGATTCCTCGAGCCGAATATATCATGGAATGTTCAAACTGCGAAGATACTCTAGTCGAAAAGGTAACACCCCTAATTCTCTTAACCATCCCTTCATCGGTCCACGTGACTGCCTGCAAAGCAGAACAGAAAGAGGAATATATAATACCAAAATGGATACAAAGCTTGGAAACTTACAGAGTTAGGGAACTTACATTAAGATTCTGGACCATAGGAAATGACAAAACAACTTCACCACCACCAAGAGGAGGAACCCCTCGAGACTCTATTTTTAGCCTTAACCCTTCTGAAGGAACTCCAAAGCGTTTCAAAATATGCCAGGCAGTTGATTGGAAAGTATCAACAGATGGATCGTTCAAATCATTTGTAATTCCTGAAAATGCAAATTAACTTGTTCAAATCTATGCCATCATCATTCATAGTAAGGAGGTTTTGAAATAAAATCTCTCAGTTTTTCAAAAGCAGAAACAACATGGGTTTTGGTATTCTATCAACAGGGGCATAGCCGCCTTAAGCCCGGGGACAGGGATCCTTGAACTTTTGCCCCTAATAGAGAAAATTTCTACAATTTTCCCTTATTTAACCCCCTTGAGAATTTTTAATTGTAGTATACAAATTAGAATTTTTTAAAAAGTTTATCCCAAATATATATACATGTTTTTTTTTTTTTTTTTTTTGAATGGAAATCCCAAATTTGAAGTATACTTATATTTCAAACTTAAAAAGTCCCAAATAAAGTAACAACAAACTATACTACTATACAAATGCATTTTCAGACTCCAAACTCTAAACTGTACTACTATCCTTCATTTGGAAGAAAAAAACAAAGATACAAATAGATAAACAAGGAAGGTAAACAGAAAGATAAATAATTACATTGTAGTTTTAGTCCAGAATTTTCGTTTAGTTGATGCCAATTTCTATGAGCATAGCCCAAATAGGTACCCACAATTCAACCCCAAAGCAGAACCCAAAATCAATAATAATAATAATAATATAAAAGAATAAAAGAAATTACACGAAACAAATGAGCAAACAAACAAATCCATTAACCAAAAATATCTCAAAAGAAAAAAAAAACCAAAAAAGAGCACCTTTGAGCCTTATGGTAAGGGGCTTCTTTGCAAACAAGCCAAGCAGAAGAAGGGGCTCCATAAAATAACCAATGGAGCGGCTAAGACCACAATCATGGACGAGGTTTTTACCACCCATCACTATTCCTGGTTTGTACTTCAATTTGGTCCCTGCCATGGAATAAAAATATTCTCACAGACATTAACACAAACACTTGACGGGCAATAACAAACACAACAGAAACCTCAAAAACCACGAAAAGGGTTAAATCGAAAAACAAACCTGTTTCGTTGATTTCGACTTTGCAGCCGTCGCAAACCTTCTCGAGCAAGCGGAGGAAAGAGACCTCGTGGGGTTTAAGGCCAGGCCATGTCTCGTCGGCGCGAATGTCTTCAACGACAACATTCGTCGACGACAGTGTCGCCAGAAGCAGCCGCTGCCTCAGGCTCCGGCTTCCCTGAAACGTCTTGTACTCCGTCTTTCCCATTCTCTCTCTCCTCGGCGGCTCTCTTCTTTCTTCCCCTCGATGCGTCGAACAAGAATAATAGGATTCTCGTTACAAACTGGTATTAAGAAAGGGAAATTGTATTTACACCTAAATTCTTTGCAGTAATTGGTCCTCTAAATTTTTTATGCTTGCTTCACCTCACCCCGATTTGAGTTTAGAATTTTAATTTTATTACAGTAAGAAATTCTTAAAAACAGTCATATTTAATTTTTTTATTACAGTAAAAATTCTCATATAAAATCACATCTTAACTCAAATTAAAAACTCAAATCAATGAATTAAACGAAACATTTTAATACTTATTTTTATTATTATTATTATTATTATTGATAAATTCATCCTTACACTCTTAAAATGTTGATAATTAAATCCTTTTTGTCCACTGTTTTAACAGTTTTATTCATGGTGAGCTCTTTTGACATCAGAAAGACTAAAATACCCTTATTTCACAATAAAGAACTGGTAAAAATGGAGAAAAAAATTGCTGAGTCGAACACTCATCATCTACCATCTCTACACTCTGACCTATCTATAAGAATGGTTATCTCGTGAGATTAAGTTGACGTTTAGTTTATAGACTTAAAATTATAATTTTAAAATTTAGAATTTAAATTTTTTATAAGAAAAAAATACTGTAACAGAACTAAAAATTATAATTCTAAACGAGATAAAACTCTTAAAACAAAAGTCACTTAAAACAAAATTAAAATGATCCACCATCTATAGGCATTCTATCTTATTTACTCCGTCTTTGCATTAGCAACCGTTGTTGCATAAAGAAATTCCAGGATCTTGCGGGGTGAAAAGTGAAGCTCCTAAGGACAAGCGTTGGCGATATGGGGTGACGCTTGGGCGTGAAGTTGGTAGTCGGCGCAAAGAGCTAAGGACCCTTGGCGAGCGCCATGCCGTCATCCAGCACCACCAAGATTTTCATAATTAGTTTTTGTATTTTACTTTTTGGATATCGTTAAAATTTCTCAACCTTGACGTAACCAATTTGGATGTTTCTCATGAATGAAAGAATTTGGGATTATAGTAACAAAAGTTTCACGGGCGGTTTCTTTTTTTTTTTTTTTTTTTTTTTCCTTCTAATCATCTAATTTTTTTCTTCCGATTTGCTATCTATTTTCCTTCTACAAAACATAAATGTGTTTGCGTTGTTGGTTGTTGATACTCAAAATTTTACAAGATATCAGCTCGGCCCAGATCTAATAAACACGACTCTAGATATAGTACGTGAACTCAAGTCACGTTTCGGAGACTTTTATGTAGGCTGTGGTTTGGCAGGACAATAAATGTGACTGAGCCCATTTTATCCGGCATAATTAGATCCTTGGCCTACTTGGGGTGGCCTTGGATCTATAAGGGAATTATGATAACGTGAATTATGAAGAAAATTAGATAAGGTAAGACAAATTATCCAAACTTACAGTCACTATCTGTACAATCTTAGACCTTTGTGAATAATGTGGAATAGCCTGTTAGCCCATTGTCTATTGTGCACTATGATAAAACAAAATAACATTTTACCCCAACACTTCCTTTCTTTTCTCGTCCTTCTCTCTCCAGAGATCTACAAAAATCTTTCTTCCTTAAAAAACTGCAAAAAGACTGAATATACACAAATAAGAAAAGGCAAGCCTTCTGGCTTCTAGGCTGCCATTTCTCTGATCTCACCCAAAACGGCCACAAAACCCCATTGGTTGCTCAAAAAACCACTTCTCATCTCTTTGGCAAGCCCACCCTTGCGATCGACGAAAGCTACCATTAAATCATACTGGAAATGCCTTATCGATGTAGGGTTTTGGAGGGATTTTAGCCAAGGTCCAAAATCGTTGGAGGGAAAACTTCCCTCTCTTTACCTCATTCCTTGTCTATAAAACTAACGTTCAAGCCTCTCAAGAGGCAGGAAGAAAGCAGAGATCAAAAGTCCCATCCTCCTGGCTGGTGTTTCCTCCGGTTTTGGGTTCTATCAGAGCGACCGACAGAGAATTCCATTCTCCATAAGTTCCGGCGGAGTCCCTCTAGAACAAGTTTCTAGGCGTACTCCCCATTGAAAGTGGTGACAAAGCCCCCAAAACATCGAAACCCCCCTTAACAGTGGCCTAACACCCCCAAGACTGAGTTTTATCCTCTTCCGCACGCTACATCCGTCGGAATCGTTTTATTCACAAACGAAGAGATATGACTCCGTTACCCACTTAGAAGCTTCCTCCATAAACTGGTCACATTCCTCTCCCACACTATACGCCTACTTGAAGCTCCCCATCGAAACCTCAGAACTGGAACCGCAACAGATGTCGCCTTGGATACCGCTGTTCTCGGGGGCATCCGAGTTTAGCCTAACTTAGCCAGGGCCAATATCATCCTTCTGGCCGCTATCGATGTTAGGAAGCGCACTTAGAAACTCTTCGACTTCGTCAGACTGACGAGAGTATAGTCATCACAAACTAAAAGGGGCCACGAGTCCTCTACCTTTCACATCGACAGGCTCTCGCTAAAAGGGCCCCAACATTGGTGAAGCATAATTTAACCCAAATTGTTGACCGGTTCCACTAATTATATAATGTGCACTGAGCTCTTACAACAGGAGGTTGACACAGATAATGAGCACACATATGACTCTTTGAAAACACACCCCTACAATCGATGGAAAACTTCAATCAATCGAGTATAAAATATCTGTAAACCAAAGGTCACCCAAAACACCGTTGAAAAACACCTAAAGCATATGGAACATAAAAAAACAATCGATTTGCAGAAAAATAACCTACGTTATCAAAAACTTAAAATAAACAGAAGAAAACAAAACACAAAACCTAAGTGGTGGAAAATACATCGACGTTAGTCAACATAACCATCTACCACAAATGAAGATGAAAACTTAACATCACAGTGAAAAAACCTAAAAATGAGGCAGCCTACAAGGTCAAAAAAGCTAGTGAAAAGAGATCTAAATGGTGCAGGAGTCTCAGCAGCCAAAGCGCCATCAAGCCATCTCGTGGAGCCACCCATACTCGCCAACAGCCAACCCCCTCTCGACACGCTCTCTCCCAGGAGAGTCACAACACCTTGAGAGCTCAAATCTCGAAGACGCCTGCCCTCCCGAAAACTCACGCATTGTGAGCCACCCCCGACCATAGCGAAACCACATCCAAGCCCACAGCCACAACCACAAACAAAACCAACACCCATATCTACTCCGACGAGAGGGACAAAGCTCAAAGGCCGCTGCGCTGTCTGAAATCTAAAACTCGTGACGGAGACAGATGAAGTCTAGCGTCTTCCTCCCAATACCTCACCAAAAACCGATTACTTACATCAATTTCTAATGATGCTAGTTCAACATACGTATTTCTTACAGTTGCGTCTATATTTAATTAATTTGTTACGGCATTGGACAACACTAATATCCCAAAAATTATTCCCAATTTCTTGTTAGAATTATTTGCTCATATGTAACATGGAGCTAGCTAAGCTGTGAACTCTGTATTTTCCTCCATGGTTTGACCAATTAATGACGTGGTCACTTTCTTCTCTTATAAATACAATTGCTAGGAGAGTGTGATCCCTAAAGCTGTCTTTTACACTTCAATATATGTGTGAACAAGTATTATATATGTATCATATGTGTATATACATATTGCAAATTTTTTTTTTTTTTTGCTCTGACGTAAAAAAAAAAATAGTGCAAAATTCCTATAATAACATGATATTAATATTTGCTCAGAGTTTAGTTTTAGTACTTAAGATTGTACTAGTCTCGGAGACAATTAATTATAATTAAATATCGCTTGGCATTACAGTGTGCAAATTTGTGTCACGTTATAATATATAATCACACTATTCGGTACATGCTTCACAGTTTAATCCAACACCCGATATGGTATTTTTACCACTAGTTTATTGTTCTACTATAGTTATTACTCGAAATAACGATAGTTTTTAAAATTGATCCCGTTTTTATTTTTTACGTCTTTTGAGAAAGAAAAAATGAAAACGTTTTCAAAACGGCGTTTGGCTCAATAAAGACAAAAAACGGAAATGAAAACGATTTTTTAACTTAGTGTAAAATGAGAGAGAAATAAAAAATGACTTTTAGTCATTTTTTATTTTTTATTTTCGTTTTCTCATCTCTCGAGCAGAGAGAGAAAAAGATAGACATTAATGGGGTTTTTTTATACTAAAAATAATCTTTTGATAAAACTATTAAACGCATTTTTAAAAATGATTTTTGTATGAGATTGAAAACGTTTTTATTTTTATTTTTATACAAAAAAATAAAATCATTTTGGAACGAGTTCTAAACGCGCCCAACGTTTGTTTTCCTTTTTGGACTTGGAAATTAACGGTCGCTAGACTTTATTTGAAAAAGATGCGATTAGATTATTTCAAAGTTGTAGTCATCACAATTGAGGGCATGTCTAGAACGGTGTATTAGAACTCGTATTTGCATCATTTTAAAATACTATGGTGTTTGATAACTTTCATACATCATTTAATTTGATATAACATTCAAAATTAATACAATATGTTATGTGATATCTAATATGGAAAAAAACCACGTATTTAGTCTGTGGTGGTGTATATAATATGACTAATAAGACCGTGTTGTATAAGAAGTCATAACTTGTTCTGTTGATACGGTATATTTTGCCCATTGCACACTATCTTTGCTTTGTCTTTGACATTTTTTTACTTTGTTTTAAATGTAATGGTGCAGGATTATGAACCTAGTGGCAATACGCCAGTTAGGTGTGAGCAAGATATTCTGAGCAAAGGGACGATCGAGTCGCTTTGAGCCATGCCAATGGAGGCTCTTCTTGAGGAATTTTGAGAAAACCATTTATACGAGTCATTTGATGGCAAGGACTTGAAAACTGTATTGTTAAAGGGATTTCAACGTTAAGTTTAGGAGAGCTCATTGAGCAAGTCTATTAGGTAGTTGTAATATCATAGGTGTCTTCTTAGAGAGAGAATCTTGGATAGATTAATTCACTATAAGAAAAAAGAGTTTTTGCGACGACAAAAAGTCGTCGCAAAAAACCGTATGTCGTCGCACATAAAGTTTTTTGCGACTAATTCGTTACAAATAAATTATTTGCGATGACATAGTGTCGTCGTAAATGTATTTGCGACGACAATCGTCGCTAATATGTTATCGTAAATTTCTCGTGATATGATCCATTTTTGCGATGACATTTCAAATTGTCGTCGCAAATAATCTTATTTTTTTTTGCGACGACAAGTATAAAAAAGTCGTCACAAAAAAACCGAAATTAATTTTTTTTATAATTTTTAAAAAATGGCAATTAATTAATTTTTAATTAAACATTATTATGTTATATACTGAATAGAATTTATTAAGATACATTTAAAGTGAAATATAAATTAATATTAAAAACATTAAATCTAAATAAATTTATAAAATATATTATGAATACTACATGAAGTGCATATATAATGTTCAAAAAAACATAAAAGTCTAAATAAAGTGAAAAATAAAAAAGTACATATAACGGAACTAATCGTCTAAGTTTGCAGCATCGCCAGCATCTGAATCATCATCAGGACCGTTATCATCTGAAGGAGGCAGAGGAGTGTCTAGGTCAACTGGTTCTGGACAATCAATCGTAGGTAATTGGATATTGGGCTGCAATTTAGCCATCAACTCTAACACCTTCACCTGATTCTCATAAATTATTTGCGACGACATTTAAGTTATTAACGACAACATGATTATTTTATTTAACGGGGAGTAATTGCGATGACATTTGTCGTCGCAAATGGCCTTTATTGTTATAGTGTAAGTCCTTTTGAGTTGTAATCCTGTTCACTTAGTGGATTGTTTATACATCTAGGTGTGACCCGATAGAGTAAATGATTATTGAACTGCGATACCAACTCTCTTGTGTTCATTATTATTTCATACTCTTACTTGATTATTTTTACAATAAACGTCATAAACGACTAATCCGATACCAATAATTTCTTCTAATTATTCTCCAAAGTGAAATCATAAAAAGTTGAATGAGATAAAAACCAAAAAGAGAAGTGCGCTGTTAGAAAATTGAAAACCCATTCCCTAGTCTCTACAACACTCTTATTATGTGAATAATGCAAGAAACTTTGTAAATTGTTCCCTACTCCTCTAGTTCTACTAGCTAGAATAATGGTTTTGCCTCCAAACTTCACTATCCTACATTGGGACTACAACTGTTGAGTGGGAGATATCTTAACATATAGGCCCATTTAGTTTGCTAATTTGAATTTTAATTCGAGTTTAGATACGACTTTATGTGAGAATTTTTTTACTGTAGCAAAAAAGTTAGATGTGACTGTTTTTTAGAACTTTTTACTATAACAAAACTCAAATTTTAAACTCGAATCAGTAAAATGAACGGGACATAAAAATCCCCAAAACACCTGCCCGCACACCTGCCCACGTTTCGCCCTCGCATGAGGGCGAAACGTTTTTCTTGTGAGGAGATGGTACGTACCATTTTGTTCCCGTGTTTTTTTTTTCGGGTTTTTATTTATTTATTTTTTTGCTTGTTTTTTAAAACTTTTTCTCCCTTATTTATTTTTGGCCCCCTTTTCTTTTCTATTTGTTTTTGGGCCCCTTTTTTTCCTTCTTGCTTCTTTAATCTTTAATTTTTTCCCTCTCAAGTCTCACCCTCATTTAATTTTATTATTATTTTATTTTCTATATTTTTAATTTAATTTTAGTCCCTTTTACACCATTTTTTTCCAACTTTGTTTTTTTTTTTTTTTTTTGCTTCTCTTTTCTTTAAGTTGTTTTTTTGTCGCTTTTTTTACTTACTTTTTTGGTCCTGTATTTTTACTCTGTCTCTCACTTTTACTTAATCTTATCATTTTAGTCTCTCTATTCTTTTTTTTAGTCCCCTCTATGCGGGCCTATTGGCCCGATCCCTCTGCTACCAGAGAAAATCTAATAGGGAGAAAGAGAGAAATATGCTAAGACTTGAAATGAATTAAAATTAATAGGCCAATAGTTTACATAAGTTAATAAATAGGCCAAATTATTGTTTTTGTCCATAACTTGTCTGGTTATGAACCATAACTTGACAAGTTATTGTCCATAATTCACAGTTTTTGTCCATAACTTGTCTGACTATGAACCATAACTTGACAAGTTTGTCCATAACTTATCTGGTTATAAACCATAACTTGACAAGTTATGGCTTATTGATTTCTATAACTAAAAATTGGCATATATATTTTCTTGAGCTTTTCATATTGGCTTATTTTCTACTATTTCTGAATTTAATATAACAACATCTTTTGGTATATTAGTAAAATATGTAATAACCTTTTGGTTTCTCATATATTATCTTTGTTTTGCCTCTTACCCTTACTTAATCTTATCATTTTTGCCCCTGTTTTTTGTTTCTTCCTGTTTTTATTTGTTTTTAGATAATACAGGAATGGAACCTAGAAAATTACTCCCACGTGCCCTCAACTAGCATTCTAAAAGTATGAACATCAGATAGTAGCTAGTTTAGTTAATTATAAGATAACATAAAATTGAAAGAGATTTTAAACATAATAAATTAGTTCTTCATGCAAATCAAGAATAAAGTAGTAGCTACAGTTGCAAAATACGATCAAAATTAGGAGCACATTACTGTAATTCATTATTATTAATATTTAAATAATGCCAATAGAAATAAAGTAAGACTCCACTATACAAAAGCTTTAAGCTTGCTTTAAAAAACTTACTAGACTACTAGTGGTAAACCTTTTTAACCACTAGTGAATGACAAACGTATCTATTTAATCACCTCCCATACATTTAGAGAAAATCACATTTCTCTTTGTATGTTTGTAAATTTTCTTTCCAAATGTATGCATATATTTCTTTTTCTTTTTTCTCCACTGCTTTTAATAAAATCATGTATTTATACACCTAGAACGCTATATATAGTGGGAGAAGAAAATATTCTCTATTTGGTGGGGAATAAAATGATTTAAACGAACGCAGCTCATAGTAACTAGATGCACCTTCGGTCATTGAGGCATCGTTCACTTCACCGATTTGAGTTTAAAATTTGAATTTTGCTACAGGAAAAAGTTCTCAGAAATAGTCACATGTAACTTTTTTGCTACAGTAAAAAGCTCTCATATAAAATCACATCTCAATTCGAATTACAAACTCTAATTAGCGAAATAAACGGCCCTGAATGTTTTCTCATATTGAATTAAAGAAAATAACATTTAACAAAGAATGAGCTTATTTAGATAGAAGAAAAAGGGTGCAACACAATTTTAACAATAGATATTCTATTAACATTTATCAGGTTGGTGCAACAGTAAAAATATTTTTTTTTTCTCGTTTCAAAATGCGTTCAGGATTTAATATTTTATTGTCTTACTTTTAGACCTTTACTGTATGTTGTTCAGCATTGGCACAAGTGAAAATCGGGCCCAGTATTTTTCCTCGAAGAAAACAACTGATTATTATTATTATAATTGTTTTTATTTTTTTTATCATTTTGCTATATGGAATCAAAATCTGCATCTGTATAATTAGCATATACCGTGATTATTTTCCTTGTGAAATTGTTTTTTTTTTCAAAACAACTCTTCTGAATGTCAGGCATTTCTCAAAGTTTAAAGTTTGAAAAAATTTCAAGAACAACATAAAAGGATAACATTATTTTATTTATGCTATTAATTTTAAATTTATCATTTATACAATTAATATTTTGGTAGGATATCTTTCATATTATATCATAATATTTTTTTTTCAACATGATATCTTTTTATTCTATCAAAATATTTTTTAATAGCATAAATAATAGGACGATGAAAAACTATTCTTGTAACTTTCTCCTTTTTAGTTGACCAGATATTTTTTCTCTTGTTTTATAACCAAGTCAATAATGAGCAGTTTAGTTATAACTCCCGCCAAAACTTGCACTGTACAACAACTTAAACACTTCCATGTTCACTTAAATCCAATTGAATTCACCGTAAAAAAAAAAAAAAATCCAATTGAATTCAAATTCTTTTGTTTTTGGCAACCTATTCCGTATTTGAGGATTTTGTTTAATTTTTATTCACTCCAATTGAATTTAGTTTTATTATGGGTGAAAGAGGGAAATAGGTCAAGACTTGAGATAAATTAAAATTAATAGGCCAATAGTTTACATAAGTTAATAAATAGGCCAAATTACTGTTTTCGTTCATAACTTGTCTGGTTATGAACCATAACTTGATAAGTTATTCCCGGTTTTTGTTCATAACTTATTTGGCTATGAATCATAACTTGACAAATTTGTCCATAACTTATCTGGTTATGTATGACCTATTAATTTTTATAACTAAAAGTTGACCTATATACTTTCTTAAGCTTTTTATATGGGCATCTTTCCTACTATTTCCCTTTTATTTTTAGATTTTCCTGAACGGGCCGACCCGAATATCCCTTTGGACTGACCCAAACTTTAAACTCTAGTCATGTAGTTGTCGTTTTTTTTTTTTTTTCTTTAAACGACATATTATGTAGTACAAATGGAAACGACATACGAACGCATAAACAACAGTCAACAGCTAACACGTCGTTTCTAAAAGGGGTGTAGGGTTTAGTGTGGTGTCGTTCTCCCCACTAAACGACATCATGTTTCCTCTTCACTACCCAGAAGTCCAAGACATCCACCATTACAGTCTCTGAATACTTGATCAATCAGCACCAGTTTTCTCCTGAAGCTGCTTTAATAGCTTCCTCAAAGCATTCCGATTTGGTTCTTTCATTCCTCAGACAAAGCGGTTTCATATGGGCATATTTAACTTGTTTTTTTGTTGGATTTGGGAATTCTGTTTGAATATGGGCATCGGATTTTGGGAGTAGTCGATATCTTGAAGCAAGCTCAGTGACATTGGTGATCCTTTATGTTTGCAGTTGCTTCTCTTGAGTATGTTTTCAAATTGTTTCGAGTGAAAAAATCGTTTTAGACAGTTTTTGCAAGTTTAAATGAACTTGTTTGGTGAATTTAGTATATTGCATGTGAGGTGCTTGTTAAAATGTCTTGTTATTTTCTTTTGCTCTCCTTTGAGATTTATTTATTTATTATTATTTTTTTTGCTGCTTGGGGGCCCTTTGTTAATGAAGCTTTTTCCAATATATATATATATATATATATATATATATTGGTGACACAAAACAAAATTACATTTTGTTTAGGTTAGGAAGTCATATCATAACATACAATATATGTTAGTGTAAAACAACTAGTCTGTTTGGACTGTTTTTTTAATTTATTGGAGGGAAATGTAGTCCCAAAAAGAGAAAAACTTTGGATGTAATAAAAGTTTGATTCTATTGTCTAGCAGTAGTATTGATGTAGGTAAGAAAAAAATTTTGTTGATTGAATTTAATGAGTGATATGGTTAAGCAATTCAGTAGCTAGGGAATTAGTTGTTCAATTCGAGTTGAGTTCTGAGGATTGGCCTTGATTATGGCATATATCTTGATTAGTGGCCTCAGTATATTTGCTTAACATACTAACGACGAAAGGTTGGCTGGTGATTTGCCCTTAAGTTATTCTTTGGTATCTAAGCAGCATAATATAGAAAAAATTCAAATTGATATTGGATTGATTAACTTTCATTTTGTTTTGTTCTTTTTCACTTCTTTTAAGAAGGAAATAGTATTAAGTTAGGATATCCTTTTTTATTTTTTTTGAGTCTGATTATGGCAAAAACTAGTGATTGCTTGGTTTATATTCTCTTTGATCTGTTGTTTTTAGCTTTTTTTGCTCCAAATCAAATAATGATCTATATTCCCGAAAGGGTAAAAAAGTTTTCTTTCTGTAATTGGCCAATTTAGTTTCTATTAAAATTCCTCGTTTTTTGTTTTCTTTCTTGTGTTTGATGGATGAGAACAGATAGTGAATTCGATTGCATGAAGGTGGGATAAGATTAGGACCTTAAATGATGGGAGGGATTACTGAATACTTGATCTGTTTGTGCTTGATTGATGAAGAAACTAGTTCTTATAGTCATAGAATATGTTTAAACCGTGTTTGTTGTGTTTGTTTTCTTGATATATTTGGTGGAAAATGAAACTTGACAATAAAATTGAAGGGCTGAAAATTAAGATGGAAAATGAGTGAATCTGTGATGAATTGCTTAAGCCTTATAAGTTAAATTTATATGGTGTCAAATTAACGAGTAGTAGGGACAAGGGAGAAGGTGGTTCTACCACCTACAACCAATTGAATAGCAATAGAGCCACATAATTTTTACTCTGTTTAGTCCATCTTCATCTTCTTTATGTATGTAAGTTGTGCATAGGTTGTCTTTTTTTTTTTTCGTTCAGATTGTACTCAAGTCTTTATCTGTTAAACTTTTTCTAAATCTGATCCCCTTGATTAAGATTGATTGATTTCCATATTTTTTGCATTTTCCTTAAGTAAATTTTTAAGTAGACAAATGATTAACATATAGTCAAGGGCAGTTATCGGTTCAGTTACCGGTTCTTTGTTTCTTGTTTTATAGAGTTCCTGTCATTCTTTCACATTTTACATGTTAGACATATAATTAACGCATAGTTAATGTTATGGTATTGATGGTAATTGAGGCTAGTAATAAATTGTTAATGCTTATTGATGTGCTTACTTACATAGGCTGTATATATTTATATAGTTCTACTTGTATTTTCTAGAGTTTTGTGTTTGAAAATCCGATAATGGCTATTTTTTTTTTTTGAAACGACAATAATGAATAACTTGAGCAATTGTTCCCAGAAAAAAAATTTAACAATTTTTGCTTTGTTTTTCAGAATAACATGGGATGATGAAGAAGAGAAACCAAGCTGCTTATTCTACAGAGGATGTTACCAATTCTCCAACCTGCAAGGTCTGCACTCTTAACTTTTTTGTGTGTGCTTTGTCCGTGAAATCTGTCAAGTAGTTTAACTATTTGAATCGTTTGTATTATTTCACAAAAACCCCTAGTTCAGTGTGCCCGTACGGCCTTATGTAGTTCGAAAGTTCGTTAAATGTTACCGTTACCGCCATTGCCATGCTCAAACTCAAACTCAAACTCAGAAAACAACATCGCTTCTCTCGCTCGAGCCATGAGAACCTTCCCTTCTTCCGCTTGGCTTCCACAGCCGCTACCATGGCAGATTCAGATGCATTGGCTCCTAAATCCACCTCACAAACCTCCCCATTTTCACGTCCATTAGAACCCCGACACGTCATTTCTGCACTTCTCCTCAGCAGAAGTGTTTCCCAGGTTAAGGAAATTTATGCCAAAGTGGTCGTCAATGGAATGCTTCAAAATGTCACCATTGCAAACAAGCTTCTTTACATTTACGCCCAGCACAAAGCGGTCGGCGATGATTACGCGCTGTTTCGCAGCGTGGAAGAGAGTGACTCAGTTACTTGGAGTGTAATTCTTGGTGGGTTTTCAAAGGTTGGAGATTTCGTTGGTTTATTTGGAATATTTAGAATGTTGATTCAAAATGGTGTAAGACCCGATAATTACACATTGCCTTTTGTGATAAGGGTTTGCAGGGACATGGTGAATTTTGTGAACGGGAAAATTGTTCATGGCATTGTTGTGAAATATGGGTTGGAGTTTAATCGCTTTGTTGGGTCTGCGCTCGTTGATATGTATGCAAAATGTGGTGTGATTGAGGGTGCACGTAAACTGTTTGATGAAATGCCGAGAAGAGATCTTGTTACGTGGACGGTTATGATTCGTGCGTATACAGAGTGCGGTAACGCTTATGAGTCGTTGGGTCTGTTCGACTTGATGATGGAGGAGAGAGTAATTCTTGATAAGTTTGCTACAGTTACTGTCATTTCTGCTTGTGCGAAGTTGGGGGCTATGAATAAGGCCAGGCTTGTGCATGATTATGTACGCAGGAAGAAGTTTCCATTGGATGTGGTTTTGGGGACGGCAATGATTGATATGTATTTGAAGTGCGGGTGTATTGATTCCGCGAGGGATGTGTTTGTTGGAATGGTAGAAAGGAATGTTGTTTCTTGGAGTACCATGATTGCAGCTTATGGTCACCATGGGCGTGGTAGGGAAGCAATTGATGAATTTTATATGATGTTGAGGAGTGGGACATTGCCAAATGCAATAACCTTTGTTTCGTTGTTGTATGCTTGTAGTCATGCAGGTTTGATTGAAGAAGGTCTTCGGTTTTTCTCATCGATGTGGGAGGAGTACTCTGTGAGGCCAGATGTTAGGCACTATACTTGTATGGTGGATCTCTTGGGGCGTGCCGGGAGAGTGGACGAGGCCTTTGGATTGGTCGAGAGCATGACGGTAGAGAAAGATGAGGGGCTTTGGTGTGCTTTGCTTGGGGCTTGTAGAATCCATGGGCACGTAGAGATGGCAGAAAAGGTGGCAAATTCACTTCTTCAGCTGCAGCCCCATTATGCGGGGTATTATGTTTTGCTTTCAAACGTTTATGCCAGAGCAGGTAGATGGGAAGATGTCGCAAAGATTAGGAATCTTTTGGCCCGGAGCAGGCTAAAGAAATTTCCTGGTTGGACATGGATTGAGGTGGATAACAAGATTTATCAGTTTAGTTCTGGAGATGAGACTCATCCCCGGTCAAAGGAGATTTACGGCATGCTCAAGAACCTGAATGAAAGGCTGGTGTGGGCAGGCTATGTCCCCGACACGAGTTTCGTTTTGCAAGATGTTGATGAAGAAGGTAAGGTAAGAAGATTGTCTGCACATAGTGAGAAATTGGCTATTGCATTTGCACTTGTTGCCACCCCTGATGAAACTCCTATCAGGCTTACAAAGAACCTTAGAGTTTGTGGCGATTGTCACACGTTTAGTAAGTTTGTATCAGCCATTACACAAAGGGTGATTGTTCTCCGAGATGCAAATCGGTTTCACTGCTTCAAGGAAGGGGTTTGTTCATGTGGGGATTATTGGTAAATGGTAGTAGGCTTATAGTTTATACTCTAGAGGTGCGAAGTAGGAGAATTTAGCCATAAAATAGTTGTTTTTATATTTTTTTTTTGTCGTTTATACCAGTAGTTTAGATATACTTTTATCATTTGTCTTGGTGGTTCTTTGGTTTCCGTTTGATGTGTTAGCTATAAATTGCCCCATTAGTTATTGTAATTGATAGACTGGAGTATTTAGAATTTGAATGAGAGTTGAGTTTTATCTCTAGTTTTGTGGGTTTTCCCCTTGTGGATTTTCTTTAGGTGGATTTAGACGACCTCCGGGTCCCATCTTACATCTGGGTTAGGCCGGTAAATTCTATCATCTCTATTACATTACAGCTCTTCTTAACTGTAATGCCTTTTTCATGAGAGCAATGAAGTCAAATGAGTTATTTGGTTGGGGGATTCGTATCCCGATTTGAATCATGATTCATGGTTCGCTACAGTGTTTTCTTTAACAAAAAATACATGTAAATCAAAAATGGTTCTAATCTCATGATTCTAATCCATAAACCAAACGTTAGTGATTCATATGATTTTGGGAAAGCTCTGTATTTTTTCCCAAGCTAGACCCGAAGTCGTAAACAAGTACATCAACTAATATCCTTTGTTCATAGATTGGCCTTTTTATATAAAATAAACTTGGGAGTTGGGAGATTGTAACTTTATGTCCCTTCTAATAAGGGTGAATGTTTTTCTGCATACGCAAAATTGACCTTGTTTTTCTATACTTTAGCTAGGTTTTTTTTTTTTTTTTTTTTTTTTCACTGAAAAAGTTAGAGGGTAACAACTCTACAGACTAACACATTTTCACCAATAATAGAATTTATTAAGGAGTTTCTCATACTTTTATACGGTTCAAGCTATTCAAGATGACAAGAAAGACATAATTAGAAGGTGAAGGAAAAATCCTTTAATATCGATTATTGTTCTTGTTCTGTGAAATGTACTCATGTTATTTTTAAGAGAGGATTGGGATTGATCTGAAATTATAATTATGCTCCATGAATTTAACTAAGTTGTCTAACATATTCTATCGTGGGATTAAGCCACTTGCAATTCTTAAATTGGATTTGAAAATTTAGATATGAAAAATTTCTGTCAATTACAATAAGTGAAATTGAAAGGCTCTCTCTCTCTCTCTCTCTCTCTCTCTTTTTTGTATGCATGATGAACATCAATGGAGTTTGTAGATTATTTTTTTTAATATTAGATAAGTTTTGTATTTAAAAAATTCCAAGTGGATGAGCAAAATTGGAGAATCTTGGATTACATTTTCCCGGCTAATCGAGTAGTACTAGTTAAAATATTGGGTGCGTTTGAAATTGATTTTTATTTATTTTTGAAAATATTTTTGCACACCTTTTGAGGCACGCAGATGGAAATTTATTTAGTAAATATTTTAAAAACGAAAATAAAAAAAAACAGTACGAATGATTTTTGTGAATGAATTAAAAAACGGTTAAAAGTTATTTTTTCTTTTATGTTTTTATTTCTTAATACTTGTCAACAATGTTATAATATAGTAATTAATAATTATAATTAAATATGATTTCACTTTTTTATTATACTCAAAATAATTTCTTAAAAAATTAACTAAACGCAATTTTAAAATCAGTCTTAAAATAATTTTTAAAATAAAATATCATTTTTACTTTTATATTAAAAATAAAATCATTTTAAAAACATTATCAAAACGGCCCAATTGTTTTGCCTCCCGAACTTCACTGTCCAATGTGAGACAAAAGCTGTTGAGAGTTTGAGCCATATTACAAAAGTATAAACATCAGTATACTTGGTAGCAAGTTGAGTTAAGATAGTAGAAATTCAAAACATGTTGGCAGTTGCACCGTCATAGATTTCTCCTTATTTTAACACTCAATAACAACGTAGGAGAAAGTACACCCTTATCGTAGATTTCTCCTTATTTTAACACAATAACACTCAATAGTTGTAAGTGGTCAGATTTACGGTCCCAATATGAAAAGAGAAAAGTTGTGTCTTAAACCACGTGATTTTTGAAAAGTTGTATCTTTTTTAAAAGCAAATATATTACAAATTAATGAGATACAATCACTAATACTACACAAATGAATTTACATTACAAAAAAACTTAATCCTGATTCCTGACCGGTACTCTTAGTAAGTTCTAATGAAACCTCAAGGCAGTGGTGAAACTTTGGGCGGCGGGCATGCCCGATGCCCGAAAATTTTCGGGCACGGCGGGCATGTGTCATTTGCTGCCCGTTCGAGTATTTTGGTTGGGCAAGGGCTCGGGCAGCCCGAAAAAAATTCATTCCAGCTGGCCGCCGCCGGTGGAGAAGTCGAACTGCCCCCCGCCGGATTTTTTTTTTAAATTTTCCTGCGTAACCCGAATTTTGCCCGTTCCCGAATATGCCCGAAAATTTTTGACCGTTAGCCCAAATTTGAACCCAACGGATCTTTTTTGCCCGACCCGACCGCCGCCCAAATTTTGTCTGAAATTTCAAACCCCAACGGCTATTTTTTTGACTGTTGCTTGATTTTGCCCGGTTTGCCCGATACTCGACCTGAATGCCCGAATTCCACTTAGCCGTTGGAACTGAATTTTTGAGGGAAAATTTTTTTTTTCAAGCTAAAATTTTTTCTATAAATACCCTCCTCCCCCACCATATTCCTCACCCAAAAACTCACATTCTCTCTACATTTCTCTCAATCTCTCTCATATCTCACTTAATCTCTCATAATATCTCATAATATCTCTCAAATCTCTCTTAATCTCGCTTAAATCTCTCTCAATCTCTCTTAATCTCTCTCAAAGCGCTCTCAATCTCTCTTATTTTTCATAATGGCTTCTTCTAGTTATGGTGGTGATATTCCTATTGATGCCTAATTCAACATCGAAGAAGAGCAATTTTATAATGTTTTTCAAACGCAGGAATCACAAACTACGGAAAGAGTTGCTGAGGAAACTGTAAATCCGAGCCCTGGTGGACGTACTAGAGGTCGTGGATGTAATGGTGGTGGCACCGGTGGGCGTGGATGAGAGGCAAGCGGTAGTGCTAGTGCAAGTGTTGCAAGTTCTGAGAAGAAATACAAGCGCACCTCAGCAGTTTGGGAGCACTTCAACACATTCGAGAAGGTTGACAATAACGGTAACATTAAATACATAACTCAGTGCAAATATTGTGGTGATAAATTACAAGGTAACACTATTCACGACACTACACACTTGAGAAGACACTCTGAAAAGTGTCTTCAAAAGTAAGGAGGCGGAGCCGATCTCCATCAAACACAATTATCGTTTGACTGCCAAACCGGCGGTCTAAGTACGTGGAAATACAATCCGCAAGTTGATCGTATGGAAATGGCACGATTAGTAGTCACATTAGATCAACCACTTAGTTTTACTGAACAAAGGAATTGGCAGCGTTATATTAAAATTGTACATAATCCTAATGCACAATTTTTTCCTAGAACTACTCTTAGGAAAGATGCATTAAAATTATATAAATAAGAAAAGGAAGCATTAATCAACCTTTTACACTCTACTAGTGGTTGCGTTGCGTTAACGGTAGATATTTGGTCCGCCGTTGCCAACAAAGATTATTTAGCTATAACCGGACATTATTATAAAAGGTTTTGATTTGGATAATAGAATCTTAGGTTTTAAATGTGTTATAAGATCACACACTGTCAATTTAATATATAACACAATTTTATCTGTCATTAATGAATATAGTTTAAGAGATAGAATAATGACCATAACATTAGATAATGCAACTGCAAATATTAAAGCATTAGAACTTTTTGAAAATGATTTAAGTTTATTTGGTAATAATGATATATTTCACCAACGTTGTGCATGTCATATAATTAATTTAATAGTAAAATCCGGTTTAAAATCAATGTCAGGTCATATTAAAAGAATAGAGATAACATGGCTTGGATTCAATGTAGTAATCAAAGAATACAAGATTGGTTTAGATTTCTACAAGCATGTAATCAAAATCCTAGAGCATTAGCCTTAGATATGCCCATAAGATGGAACACGACTTATATAATGCTTGAACAATGCATATTTAAGGCTAATGCTCTAGGATTTTGATTACATGCTTGTAGAAATCTAAACCAATCTTGTATTCTTTGATTACTACATTGAATCCAAGCCATGTTATCTCTATTCTTTTAATATGACCTGACATTGATTTTAAACCGGATTTTACTATTAAATTAATTATATGACATGCACAACGTTGGTGAAATATATCATTATTACCGAATAAACTTAAATCATTTTCAAAAAGTTCTATTGCTTTAGTATTTGCAGTTGCATTATCTAATGTTATGGCCATTATTCTATCTCTTAAACTATATTCATCAATAAAAGATAAAATTGTGTTATATATTAAATTGACAGTATATGATCCTATAACACATTTAAAACCTAAGATTCTCTTATCCAAATCAAAACCTTTAACATAATGTTTGGTTACAACTAAATAATCCTTGTTGGCAACGGCGGACTAAATATCTACCGTTAACGTAACGCAACCACTAGTAGAGTGTAGAAGTTTGATTAATGCTTCCTTTTCTTATTTATATAATTTTAATGCATCTTTCCTAAGAGTAGTTCTAGAAAAAAATTGTGCATTAGGATTATGTACAATTTTAATATAACGCTACCAATTTCTTTGTTCAATAAAACTTAGTGGTTGATCTAATGTGGCTATTAATCGTGTCATTTCCATACGATCAATTTGCGGATCGTATTTCCACGTGCTTAGACCGCCGATTTGGTGGTCAAATGATAATTGCGTTTGGCGGAGATCAGCTCCGCCTCCTTACTTTTAAAAACACTTTTCAGAGTGACTTTTTAAGTGTGTAGTGCCGTGAATAATGTTACCTTGTAATTTCTCACCACAATATTTACATTGAGCTATGTATTAAATATTACCGTTATTGTCGACCTCCTCGAATGTGTTGAATTGCTCCCAAACTGCTGAGGTGCGCTTGCATTTCTTCTTAGAACTTGCAACACTTTCGCTAGCACCACCGATTGCGTCTCCTCCACGCCCACCAGTGCCACCACCATTACGTCCCCGACCTCTAGTACGTTTACCAGGGGTCAGATTTGTAGTTTCCTTAGCAACTCTTTCCGTAGTTTGCGATTCCTTCGTTTGAAAAACATTAGGAAATTGCCC